GTCAGTCGGACCTGTTTGTGACTGAAGAAATGTATTATATTAGAATCACCCTTTTTGTTTAGTTGTATTAAAATGTTTCTGCTTCAGTCATGTTTAAAAGCTCATTTAAGTTGAATACTTGTTTCTAGTCAGTTTGCCAAAATCAAGTAACTAATTAATATTCAAGTAAGGAAACTAATTAATATTCAGTCTGTGTTGGCTCTTTTTGACTTCAGACTTGTGTTAGCCAGTCCAGTTATTACTATAAGCTCATTGCAGCTGGATGAAAAGGGGTTATAGCTTTTAAGCATTTGTTTCTGTTTGACTAACCTCTGGTTTTACCACGCTCCTCTAGCCATGAGAACCTCTCTGTGTCTGGGACTGTATTTGTGAATTATTGCTGGTGAAGCCTAGGTTCTCATTCACAGGTCAGAAATGCAGTGATGAATGCAGCTTGGCCTAGAGGTCAGAGGTCAAGCTGTCATCGAACTCTGAGACAGGGCAGCAAAGGACAGCTGGGAGACAAATCAATCAACAGTGCAATAAAGGTCATTTGATCTGGTTATTAGGAATTAAATGTATCTTTTCATATTTCATGTGTCTCAGTTTATAACTATATAACCCAGACATATTCTTTGTGATTTGTGAAGAAGTACTGCGGTACATTCATGGTGTTTTTTGTTTTGTTTTTTGGAGCTCAACAGCCCTTCTGAAATTTCTAAAGATCAGAAATTCTTCATAAATTCACAAGAAAATCATACAGGTTTGGAAAGGCAGAAAGTGACATATATTTCACTATATTCTTGCCTTATTATTTGAATTAAAGCCATGAATATGTTGCTTTCATGTAGCAGGATTGAGAAAAAAAAATCGAATAAAAACTGTCTCCCTTTCAATTCAGGCCACAACACAGGACGTTGAATTGGAATGACAGGAAGAGGAATTAAAGATGTTCAGCACAATCATTCAACAGAGGAATTTCATTAGTTCAACTTAACAACTAAACTGTTCCAGAGCAGATGATTTCTTATGTGTTTTGTTCAAGGTTTCCACCTGGAAAACTCACTTCATGTTGTTTGGCTCCACTTAGAATATTTATAATGGACAATAGAGCATTCTGGGAAATTATGCATTCTTCCATCATGGTCTAACATTTAAGTATACAGTTAAATATGTTTAAAATAAATACAAATTTCATTAAATACAAAGTGGCACTTCAGACACTGAACATTATAATTTAAAGTTTCTGCAAATAGCACAAATGATTGATAAATGCAATTCATAGAGAAAAATCTAAGTTATATGAATTTCATTCCATTTTATTAAAAAAAAATCAAACTTGAATTGCATTTCTGCGTTATGTCTGCGACCTCAATTTAAACTCTTTAAATTTCAAAAATGCATTCTCGCGTGAGTTCGGATTTGTTGTAGAGATGTGATTGAGCAGTAGATGGCGCTGTTATTCAATATTGCAGCACCACAGGCACCTCTAGACTACAGACTACAGTACTAACCTCTAACCCCTAATTAACTAAAGTAACCATCCAATCCAGTTAGTTTGCACTCATATGTAGCCTATCCACTGTAATCTCACATTCTTCTCATGTCACTGTTCATTTGTGCACAGTACAATTAACTCAGGATATTATTGCCAGTTATTGTGCAGCTTCAAAGGGAAAGACATTGTGCCAAAAAGGTCATGCTCTGATGGTCTTTTGGATGGTGATCAGTTATTATACTAGCAAAAGGACAAGCGCTGATGATGCAGTGAACACTTCTGTCCTGAGCATTAATTAGGCTGTCTGACCAGAAGCTACATGTAAACTATTAAGTAACATCAGCAGCCATTCTCAATCAGCCATATATTTTTGGTGGTGTAATGAAAGTAAAATTGTCTTTTCAAACCTGTATGATTTTCTTTCAAGCACTAATTTGAATTTTTTACGAATTTTTCTCAAAAAAAACAAAAAAAAAGTTAATTAAAAAATAAAATAAATTAATAATAAAATAAATTAAATAGCTGTCTGCATTGTGAAATTAATGTCTTGCTTACATCGTTCGTACACTTTTATCGCTTTGGATAAAAACGTCTGCCAAAAGAATACATGTAAATGTAACGTGCATCTGCACTTGTTTATGTTGAGAAAATTTGCCAGAGTGCAGATTTCAGTCTGCGATTGCGTGCACTCACAAAGCGATGATTCATCTGAACACCTCTGATTGGCCACTGCGTTTGTAAGCTCAACAGAATCGTGTGTGATTGGTTATAATGCGCAACGCTGTAAATAAAAAGCGTAAAAAGAAATCTGATGCAATATGAGCAGATCTAAATTTAAAACCGCGATCGCAACTTTTCATTTTACTTTATTCACAACAAATGTTATATATTTAGTTTAACTGTGAAGTAGCATTTTTGTTCCAAACAGATGTTATGGAGGGGGAGCACCCACTGGCAGAAACATCTATCTATCTATCTATCTATCTATCTATCTATCTATCTATCTATCTATCTATC